GCTATTGCCCTAGTTCATGTGTCTCCCAGATAAGGGTACTGTGCATGGATGCTGAAACTGCAGAAGGGGTGCTTAATGTATGAAGACAGGCGGGAAGCTAAGAGAGAAAGTTCCAGTCAAAGAAATCTGAGAGAGAGTGTTCAGGTGGAAGGAGGTAATCGAGTCTTCTGGAAAGTAGCTGCATCTCTCCCTGGGTGGAATGGCACAGCAGTCCTGCTCCACGGGGCTTGGAGCTGGCTCTTGCCAAGAGCCATCTGTGTCTCTGATTGGCCCTTTGTCTTAGCTCAGATTCCCATAGGCAAATACTATAGATTGGGCAGCTCCAGCAACACAGGTTTATTCTCATGGTGCTAAAGGCTGGGGACTCTAAGATCAGGGCATCAGCAGATTTAGTTCCTGGTGAGGACCGTTTCCTGGCCGGCAAGCACCGTGAATCTCTTACAAGGGTACTTATCCCGTCGTGAAGGCCCACCCTCTTGACTTCTTCTAATTGCTGACCACCTCCCAAAGGCCCCACCTCCTAATACCATCACATGGGGGCGGGGCAGGGGCAGGGGCAGGGCTTCAACATAGGAACTTTGAGGGAACACACTTCCACAGCAGCTTTGGAATGCATTGGGCCAGCTACACAAGGGGAAAGGCTTCTCACATCTCAGGACAGGCACACCAGAAGCTCGGGCAGCTTGCTGGCGAGAGTACTTATTTGTTAAAGTGTTTCCTGAGCACCCTGTGTGTGCCAAGCCCAGGGTCAAGTACCGGGGTTGTGGGGCTGGGTCAGACTATACAGCCCTTGCCATGAAGAATGCGATTTGAGGGGCAGCCAGTGGAGAAACAAGAGCACTGTGTTGTGAGGAGCCTGTGGCAGAAAACGAAGATGTGCCGTGTGGGGGCCACTGTGGTCATTGGGTGAATTTTGTAATCTGATATCTAAGGGCAGTCGTGCTTCAAGTGGGCTCTGTGGTTTGCTCTTTAGTTAGAAAGGAAAAGAGTCTAATTTCTCAGAAGGAAGTTGTGCAGCCTTGGAATTGTGCAAGGTGCCCCCCAGAAAGGCTGGGCTGCTGAGGGGTAGAGGTGTTAGCATCTTGGAACAGGTGAGACTTTAGCAGGTTAAAAATACCCGAACTTCTTGCTATTTTACAGGGAGGAGTTGTGTCCTGCAGGCAGTGAGGTCACACAGGGAAGGGCTGCTGCTTTGCGAAGAGGCCTCTCAGGCATGTGAAGCAATTCGCTTGTTTCTTTGGCCATATAGACTTCTTGTACCTAGATTCTAAGGCGATAGCTACTGATATTAATGAATTCTTATTTGCCATGATTTGAAGTGTAGAGAACCTGTGTGTCATTTGTGACAATGCCATGGGGGTATGTGGCTCTTTGATCTTCTGCACTGGACTGAACTGAAGTGCTGAGTATCTTTACTGGAAGTCTTGTGCTCCCAAGATTGTATGTCTTGCCTGCTCCTGGACCCGAAGCCTGTGGAGGCCCTGACTGTGGTGGGGCTCTGCTAGCCCTTGTCCACTCCCCTTGGCTACCACTGTACCTGGAAATGCAAGCATAAGCTCATCTTTGGACTTGAATTCTAGACGACAAAGTGAAGTTATTAAATCCTTCTATGTAAATAGCTGTGTCGGGATATTTTAACACGGCCAAATCTCTTGTAGCAGTTTCTGAAACCCGGGGAGAGAAAGAACTTCAGAGGCCTAGGTCCCCCATCAGACTTCTGGTGGGGTGCATCTGTGTAGGACGAGCAGCGTGAAAAGCTCAGCAGGTACTGAATTAAGGGGATGAATGCACAACTGCGGGTTTTACTAAAAATTACTGAATCGTACACTAAAAGTGGGTCTATTTTATAGAAAATTGTACCTTACCACAGCTATTTTTTTTTTAATTTTTTTATTTATTTGACAGACAGAGATCACAAGTAGGCAGAGAGGCAGACGGGGGGCGGGGGGAAGCAGGCTCCCTGCTGAGCAGAGAGCCCGATGCGGGGCTCGATCCCAGGACCCTGGGACCATGACCTGAGCCGAAGGCAGGGGCTTTAACCCACTGAGCCACCCAGGCGCCCCACCACAGCTATTTTTTAAAGAGTGGGGTGCAGCAAAAAACTCCGAACGTGAGTGATGTGCAGCTAGGGCAGAGATTCCCTGCACAACAGTCAGGCTTCCTGGGGACATAAGCCTCTTGCCCCCTGTCCCATCCCTTTGGTGCAGGGGTCTGTTCTGTTGCTTGGTCACCACCACACGCTTGGTCAGTGCTTTGCTGTCCTTTTGTGTCCTGACCTCCCTCTTCCCCATCTTTTGGCAGCAGACGGTCTTCTCAAACATTCTGCTTCTGTTTTGTGGCCCCCTCCTCCTCAAATCCTCTGAGCATGTTTTCATTTCACTGGGTGTTCTTTAAAGCTGGACTCCCAGAGTTCTCCCAATTGTAGACGGGACAGACTTGCCAGGGAAAGCCAGTTCTAATGTCAGTCTCTCAAAACAAGGGCCCCCAAGGACAGTTTTTTCTGAGTTCTTACCAGCAAGCTAAATAATGCTATAATAAAAGACACAAATGCATGTAGTTGAAAAACATACAGTTTATATAGGGAACATTTATTTTAAAGTGATTAATGAATGAGTCATTTGACAAAATACGGGCTTTTTTGATAAAACAAATGCTTGTGTGAGCGGCTGGAGCAGAGCGTGGCTCTGGGCAGCGTCAGAGCATTGGCACTGTGGTCTCGGGCCCCCTTGGCCGCATCTGGTTGTCTTTAGTGAGTGCCCTGACCTACTCCAAGGAAGGGTGAGAACGCACGTGCCAGTCAGAAAGACAAAACTAAAGATCACTGCGGTCATTAGAAGAATAATAATCAGTTCATAGGATTCTTAATTATGTTTGGTTTTGTTAAGGGACTGTATTTTAAATGTACCACAACACAAAGCATCCAAGAAAACAAGCTTCCCAGGCTTGCACATCATCACAAACTTGTTCCTTTGCCAGTCACACAGCAAGAGGATAACTGTCACTCCTCTCCCGGTGCCCTGCTCCACTGAAGAGACCTGCTCTTTGTCTCTCCCAGGCAAGAACATCGGGTAGAGCCCTGTAGCCCACACGGCACTGTTGCATTCCCCAGCTCCTCCCTCCTCTGCCCCACTGCACCTTTCTGAGCACCCATTCTAAATACCTGGAACCCAGAGCCAACACAGTTAGTGGGCCCCCTGTCAGTACCCAGATTCTCAAATGGCTGCTATTAAAGGTCTGGGATCTCTCAAACCCTTGGCCCCGCACTAGAGCTATCTGCCAGTCTTCCCACTGATGCGTTAAGTGTTCAGCTGTGCCACATGATGGCACAGCTTGTCCTCTCCTGCCCACCGCTCCGTACTTGACGTGAAGGAATTGTCGTATCTACTGCTTGTATATTTTGTATATATACTGCTTGTATATTTTGACCACCCTTTCGCTTCTTAGTTTTTTGTAATCTGGTTTCCATCCTGTCACCTGCTTTCCTGCTATTTGTAGTGCCCTCAGCAGAGTCTGATCCACATGGGATGGCCTTGACTGGGTCCTCATTTCCCTTGGATCAGTCTGTCCCCTGAGTCACTGTGTTCCCCCACGTATCTCCTATTTTTCCACCTTTTGTCACGAGGGATTCCCTTGCTTTTGTCTTCTACTCTGCCACACTTCATTCTTTTCACTAGTCTCCCCTCTGTCAGTCTCATGTCCGCGGGGACACCTCGGCCCTAGCCATGCACCCAGATTTCAGCTTCCTCCTCCCAGGACTTCCCAGCATGTCAGCCCTCTGCCATCTCTGACCCTCCTGCCCGTCACAGCTGGCAGATCCTTTTGTCCTCCATGCGCTCAGGCACCACAACCCTCGCTGCCTTTGCTGGGCCTTTGCTGTCTTGCAGAGTCCCCATCTCACAGGTCACTGGTCTCTGCTTTGCCCTTTCTAAAGTTGTCCTCTTGAGGAAAGCTTGGAAGCTTGTTCAGAAGTGTCCCTCTGCTCCCTACTGCTGCAGATTTAAGTTGAGAATCCTAAGCTGGGCACTGAGGGCCCTCCGAGATCCTGGCCCTGTTTTTCCCCCTTGTTTCCTGTTGCTTTCTTGCTTTGTACCCATTGCTCTCCTGCATTGTGTGCCTTCTGGTTTCTGTGCTTGTCTGTGTTCTGTGCTTTTGCACATCACTAATTTAGCTTCGAGGAATGCATTCTTCCTCTTCTGCTGGCCTTCATACTATTTATTCTTTAAAGCCTGGCCCATAGACCTCCTTTTTCTAGTCTCCACAGCTGGGGGCAGTCTTTGTGCTCGCAGAACCCCAGAGCACATTCTGTTATGTCTGAGACACCACTGACTTGCCTGCCCACTTATTTCTGGGTGCCCCCCGACCTCAGCTCTTAATAGTCATAGTCGGGGGCGGGGGGTTGCAGCTTTGTCCTGGCCAAGGGGTGTGGGGCTTAAACACTGAATGAGTGATGACTCAAAGGGCCAAGGCTCCAAGCCCCCCTTCCTGGGGCCGTAAGCAAGATGTTAACAGATAGCTGGATAACAGCACAGCCTGGGGCCCCGGCAGGAGGCAGAGTTTTCTCTCACTGGAGAAGTTCAAGCTCTCACTGGGTGAGCCGCAGGGGAAGATAGGTCTGGAAGAACTGTAAGAGACACCAGGTGTATATGTAAGTCACATTCTAAGGACAGCAGTTCTGCTATGCGGGGGAAGAAGACTTTCAAAAACACTTTAGTGACCGGTTTATCTGTGGGTGATTTCTTTGTGAATTTTGAATGATTTTTGTTTATACTAAGTACATTTCAAGGGCCTGTGACTGTACTTCCTGGCATCCTACAAGTATCTTTGTGCCTTTGAAACAATTCAATGGCTTGACGTCTAAACATCAGACCCAGGGTAGGTGTTATGTTAGTTACTTTGGTCCCTTTCGTTCCTCAGCATTGGGGAAGAAGTTGCCGGTTTAGAGCCGGTGCTTTTATGTGGAGGCGTGACTGATATTAACAATAGTCTTTTTGTTTCCACAGAGGTTGCGGAGCTTGAAGCTAATTTACCGTGTAAGTATAGCATCCCACCCAGACAGTAAGTGCTGCAAAGTCATTGCATGGAGAAGCTTTTTTTTTTTTTTTTTTCATGTTTTAATAACCTTGCATAGCCCAAAGCCTGGTTTTCATGTGTGTTGGGAGTGAGTTTTAATTTTGTGCAGACAGGTAGCAGAATTTTGTTGAGGTTCAGGTGAGAGTGAGATATTTACCAGGGGAGGGGACGGGGTTGGGTTTCGTATTTCTTCCATAGTTTTCTGTCCTGTGTCCTCTTTGAGCGAAAAGATCTATAAATCAGTGACAGATGGTCCTGTTTTCATGAGTGTCAGTACCACCTTTTTGGTGCAGAAAGTGCTTGCCTGTAATGCATCTCCGTGCATGAGCTGGGGTGACTACACCCGTTATGTCACCAGGTGTCCTCACTTTGGTCCTTCCCCCTTGGACGCACAGACCCACTGTGCAGTTCTCACTCGTGAGCAAGTTCGCTTACTGGGCAGTTAGCTTGTGTGAGGTGTCAGAGGGTTGCTTTTCTTTTCCTATTATTAATCCCTTGCCAAATTTTAGTAATACCATTAAAGCCTAAAAGTTTTGGCCATTTTAGTATTTTTTTAAAATTAGGACTTTTTATCATGTTCGGTTAAAAATAGTTCTGAGGCTGAGGATGTTTCTCACTGTGAGTGAGATGTTTTATACGTGGGTCTCCTGGTCTGGGTGAATGCTCTAGAGAGCTTGGTCTCTCCGGCCCACCTGACCCAGAGAAGAGAGGGCCCGTTCCTGCCACCAACTACAGTTAGACGGGTGGTAGTGGGTGTGACCTTAAGTACGCATATTTTTTGGAAAATTATTTTTAATGTGTGCTATTTATCTATGGGAATGGTGGGTTGTGATATTAAATAGGTTTCTTAGTGTGGGTCTCAGTCAAAATGTCTTAAATGTCTTAATGTCTTAAAAATCCCTGAATTGCTTGATCTCAAAGTTTTCTTCTGTCAGAACTGGAAGGAAGTGTTTTGGGGTTCTCATAAAGGGTTTATATGTACATATATATATATATATATATACACACATGCATATATTTAATCAAGACCACAAAAACTTACTACTTACACACAGTTCATTTTGTCCTCAAATAGGAGTCTTACTGAAATTGTTGGTTTTTAACCCATAGAGAATATTTTTAACCTTCTCTGAAATTTTGGTTTAAAAACAGTTAAACTTTGGGGGGACACCTCGCTGGCTCAGTCGGGGGAGCATACACTCTTGAGCATAAGGTCATGAGTGCAAGCCCCATGTTAGGCAGGGAGCCTACTTTAAAAAAAAAAATTGCAAAAACAGTGTTTGTTCGCAACTCATTATTCTAAAGAGGAAACAAGAAGCCACCAAAGAAGAACTCTCTAGTATCTTATTATTAATAATATCTCTAAAACATTAACAAGAAAAACAAAATACCTTGCTATGTAGCAGTGCTACTTAACAGTCATTCAGAACTTGTTTGGAGCTGTGTATATGCAAGTTCAGAGACGTTTCTCTGTTGGCAAAAAATACCTCTTTCAGATAGATGGAATTATAAGATGTTAGCCCACGACTGCAGACAGAGGAAAAGCTTTGAACTAAAACAAAACTGGTCTCTTAATTTTTTGTTGTTGTTGTTAAGACTTTTTTGAGCTTTAAAATGTTTGATTCTTTTCAGTACTTGTATTGATTGTTAATCTCCCTTGGTAACTTTATTATTGGGGGGGCCAATCTGTTCTAGAAGGATAGATTTCTATGTTTATCCTTCTCCTGAAATGAAGGAGAATGCCGGGTATGAAAACAAAGGAATGCTGCTGACTTCCGCCAATCAGTGAGACATTCCCTAAGCCCTTGTCTTCATTTCTGTTGCATGGATCTCACTGGAAAGACAGCATTTCTCATTTCAAGTCAATATTAAGAGAAATGGGGGTGCCTGGGTGGCTAAGTGGGTTAAGCCTCTGCCTGTGGCTCAGGTCATGATCTCAGGGACCTGGGATCGAGCCCCACATTGGGCTCTCTGCACAGCAGGGAGCTGCTTCCTGCCCCGCCCCACCGCCTGCCTCTCTGCCTACTCATGATCTCTGTCTGTTGAATAAATAAATAAAAATCTTAAAAAAAAAAAAGATTAAGAGAAATGAAGCCCATATACTGTTCACATATGTGGTTCGGGCAAAAGTCTTGAACTTCATGGCTTCCGGCTTCATTATTTATTAAAATAAAAAATGTGACAATGTAATCTCTAAGACCCCTTCTCGCTCTTCTAGATTAAGTTACCTTTTATTCTACAATGATTTTCTGAGGGATTGGCAAAAAAAAAAAAAAAGAAAAGAAAAGAAGCCCTATTAACAGTTCTGTGTGGTTTTTATGCCTCATGCCTGGCATGTTCATGAAGTAATGAAATGAGGTGTGGTATAGGGAGAAGAGCCATGAACTCGTCTTTAATTTGGGAACAAACCTTCTGTTGATAACCTGTGTGATCCTGGGCTGGTCGCTGAACCTCTCTGGATCTTTGTGTTACTTCATGCTTAAGGACATTGAACTCTTAGATGATCTCTAAGGGCCATATCTAAGTCTAATTTGAATCGTCCTATTTTGATGAAATTTCATACCATTGTAAAACTAGACAAATATTTTCAGTGGTGGGACTTGTAAAGAATAAAGTCAGAAAGTGACCCAAGGAGTTTAGCATATTTCCTGAATTTATAAAGTAATAGACAATTTCTACATATATTCATCCCCAATTTAGTGGCTATTTATTCTTTGTGTATTTACCATTCTTCGGTATCATTTGTTTGAAGGAAGCAGATTTAGCCAGTTGCTCTGTCTGTGCCACTAGCTCTTAGCTCTTTTCCCAGTGAGAATGCCTTGTCCTGATTCCCCAGACCCCTTCCGATGTGGTGCGTTGGACGTAGGGTGTTGCCCTCTGAGCAGAGCATTATTTCACCAGCAAAGCAAACTTAGCTTCCAGTTGGTCTGTGAAGACATTTTTCCCCTCCTTTTTAATGCCATGGTAAACTCTAGCTGTGAGTTAACTTCATGGACACCCTTCTTTTGAACTTCAGTTTACTATGGTGGGTATGAATAAGGATGGTGGTGGTGGGTGAACAGCCCAGAAGTTTGGCCTGGATTCTTCTGGTTTTGCCATGTTTAGTTGGCCTTACCCACATGTGTTCATCTCCTTGAGATGTGTTTTTCTCTTTTCAAAGTAAACTAGCATAATTCTTGAAGTTAATGGAAAGACCTCAATTTTTAGTGACTGTTTAGAAGTTGAAAGAAACCATCTCAATTTGGAATTGGCAAGTGAAAGACTATATGGCAAAATCACTGGTTTGCAATTTTAGCACAGTGGCACGAGTATTTGTCAAACCAAGAGCAAGGCAGCATCTACAAACTCCTTCAACTCCATGTGTGTGTTTCAAGGACAGCCTCCACATAAGGACTGCTGCCAGCTCTCAGACCTTCCTGATGTGCTGTTTCTTTTGCAGGTACATGTAAGGTGCATTTTCCTGATCCAAACAAGCTACATTGCTTTCAGCTAACTGTAACCCCAGGTAATATTCTTACATACTAAGTGTTAAAGTGATTTTCAGACAGCAAAGCTGAAAGGCTGCCCAAATCTAGAACCTTTGGCATGATTTATCCTCTCACTTTTGAAAGTGATGACAGTGACAACTATTCCACACGAAGACAAGATAAGTGCTTTGCAGTCAAGAAAGCTGAATACAGGGAATCTGTGGCATTCGGTGTATACTTGGAAATGAAGTATAGCTTTAATTACTGGAATGAAGGGCCACAGAAGCTGTTAGTATGGTGAAGAGTGTGGGCTTTGAAATCATAACTGGGTTCTGATCCTGCTCCGCCATTTCATGGCAGTGTGGTCATGGTTCATTTGCCTCTTTGCACAGCCCACCCAGCTAGAAAGTGGGGACCAAATAGAACCTATCTCACGGGACACTTAGGATGATTAAATAGATAATGGGTGTGAAGCATTTCAGCCCAGGGTCTGGCACAGGGAGGTAAGCAGATTCCCAGCTACCCTCATTAGGACTGGTAAGTCTCCAAGCTCCGGGTGCTCCGGGGCCGTAACCTGTCCCTCCTTGGTCGGACCAGGCAGCAAGATGGAGGACTTGGGTTTTTTCTTGCCGCAGTTCAGCTTTGAATGTTAGCAGAGTGTAGCCTGGCATGGACCACCGGTGTTTATGTTGGGCAGAGGGTGCTGTGCTGTGGGCAGCCGGTACTGCTGTGGGGTAGGTGGGGTAGGTTGTGGAGGAAATGGAGGGTGTTATTTTATTTGGGGGATGAAATGGGAATGAGCAACTGAGAATAATGAATCACTAGCTAATTAGAAAGTGCAAGAGAATACAGAATTTCAGTAGGCGATAATGAACCCACAAATAAGACCTGACGATTGTCTGCCTGCAGGTAGGATGGATTATTTTCTGTGGAAGATGTTTTATAATAACAGGAGAAATCCCATTTTCAAAATGTACTTGAAAACTTAAAAACTCATTTGGTCTGTGTAGTTAGGTTCTACAGACGTATCCAGACATGTCCATAAACCCAATCTGGTACCATTTACACTAGGAAGGCACCAGGAGGGAGTTAATATCAGAGCACAGCTGGTAGAGGTAGGGCGTTGCACGCGCCTGACGTCAAGAGATAACCGTAGCTCAGGACTTTAAGCTAGGAAGTGATGAAAATTGTAACCATTCTTCGGCCACCTTCATAAAACATGGTGCATTGTGCTGTTTTTAGCAAGGGGTATTGAGCACTTTAATATTTCTTGGTAACTCAGGGTCACCATTCCGAACATCATTTACTATTACTGCTGAGTAATGCAGAGTATTTTCAGAAATTATTGTGGTGGTTGAGATTGGTTCTGTGTGTACTAAGTGGTCTTAGACTGTGTGTTTGTAGTAAACGTGTTTCTCCCCTCTGCCTTTCTAGGGCATTTTCAGTGGCTGGTAGAGATTCTGTTGCTCTGCTCCCTGCCCAGGTGTGAGCTCCGTGGTCCTTCCCAGCCACTCAGAAACCTTTTTTGAGTTTGCCGGGCTTGTTAACATCTTACGTGGGTTTGTGTCAAGTCCAGCCTCTGAATAAGAGTTTCTCCTTTTGCTTTTGCTTTTTTTACGGAATTACATGGATGTTATGATTACTGAGATTATGACACCATCTTCTATGTTCTTATTGTTCTTGAAAGTGGACCACAGTTGCTGTTGTTTTGATATTCACTGTTCCATCAAATTAAAAAGTAACTTGTGTTTTGGTGTCTGTAACTATTTAGTACTTTAGCATTTATATTTGTAATTTGTAATATTTGTATAATCGTGTACATCACGGACACAATTATCACACTGAGCTGTGTGCTCAGCCTGCACTTCCAATGCCGTGTGTATGCCCATTGTTTGTGGTGTTAGTGTGTCAGAAAGCTGCAGTGGTTCCTGCCCTTTGTTATTAAGAGAAACATGGCAGAGATCTGCCAACCCTAAAAACTTGCCAACCCTAAAAACTTGTCTTAAAACAGCTTTTTGGAGTCCTACTCCTCTTAGTATTGGAAAGAAACTGTAGAGACCTGCCTGACTGATAGAAGTTTTAACCAGGTGTGAAGCGGAGGGTTTGGAAAGTGGCACACTAGCAGCCGCTAGTAGTGGGCACGCTCAGCATTAGTAAGTTCTAGATGTTTGGATGGTCAGAGTGGGAGATCTGTATCAGTAGTTGAAGCCCAAAACTCTTTTTCACATGGCTCCTGGCAAGTTAGTTCCTGTTAATACTCGGTAACATTGTCATAGTTTTGTTTTCAGACTGTTTTTGTGCTTAGGAATAAATGTACTCTTTGGAGAAAAGATGGACATGTATTTTGGTGGTAGAGGAAAAGAAAAGAACTGAATTTAAGAGGGGAAAAAGTCTCCACATCAACTCACAAAGTAAGAAAAAATACTAGTAAGTGAAACAAATTGAGAAAAAGCAAACACTTAGAGACTTGCTGAGATACTCCTGGGAGTCTTGGTGAAATTGGAAGGACCCTGTGAAAACCTGTTGCTTAGCTAACTTGGTGGGGGGCGGGGGGGTCCCCTCAGCCTGCCCCACTGTGACTTGGAGCTTTTAGGCAGAGAGGAACAGGGACTTAAATAACAATATTTTTAATTTTAGTTTTTACTTTTTAAGTAGATTTTTACTGAGGTATAAGATAATAAACAATAAAATGTACTAATTTGGACTGTGTCTTAATTTGAAAAAATGTGTACACCTATGTAACCACAACCCTAGTAAAGATATTTCCAACATTTCCAAATTCCCTTCTGCCTCTGCAGGCAATTCCTTACCCCTGGCTACCCACCCAAAATTCCTTTCTGATTTGTTAGCATAAATGACTTTTGTCAGTTCTTGAATTTCATATGAATGGAATCTTATATATGTACTCTTTTCTCTGACCTCTTTCATATCAGTTGTTTTAAAATTCATATGTGTTGTATCAGTGGCTTCTTTCTTTTTATTTTATGAGTATGCCATAATTGCTCATTTTCCAATTTGTGGACATTTGAATTCTTTCCAGCTTTTTGCTATTAGGAATATAACTGCTATTAGCATTTTCATACCATCCTTTTTATACTCCTATTTTCACTCGTTCATTCATTTTCTCTTTAATTCCACTTAAAAGTGAAATTTCTGAGTCACAGAAGATCTATGTTTAGCTTTTTAAGAACTTTCTAAAGGGGTTGTACTATACACTGACCAGCAATGTATGAGAAATTCCAGTTGTTCTACAGTATTTGGATATGAATAGTATTTCGATGTGGTTTTAATTTGCATTTCTCCAGTGCTGGGATTTTGACTGAGACAGTGTTGACTTTATAGATCAGTTCTGTGGGAAATGGCATCTTCACAGTGAGTCTTGCCATGCATTAGCACGTGAATGTCTCTACTTACTTAGAGTTTCCTTACTGTCTCTTAGCAGTGTTTTTGTACTTTCCAGTGTATAGGTCTTGCAAATATAACACCAAGTATTTCTTGTTCTTTTTAAGCTGTTGTAAATGGTATTTTTTAAATTTCCATTTTACTTGTTACTAATTATATAAAAGTACAATTGATTGTTTATTATATTGATTACATGTCCTGTCATCTTGCTAGTAGTTTCTTTTTTTTTTTTTTTTTTAAGATTTTATTTATTTATTTGACAGAGCGAGATCACAGGCGGGCAGAGAGGCAGGCAGAGAGAGAGGAAGCAGGCTCCCTGCTGAGCAGAGAGCCTGATGCGGGGCTCAATCCCAGGACCCCGGGACCATGACCTGAGCCGAAAGCAGAGGCTTTTAACCCACTGAGCCACCCAGGTGCCCCTAAGTTCTAGTAGCTTCTTAACATATTCTTGGGATTTTTATATCTGTGATCCTTGCATCTGGGGGTGCCTGGGTGGCTTAGTCATTAGGTGTCTGCCTTTGGCTCGGGTTCTGGGATCAAGCCCCACATTAGGCTCCCTGCTTAGCGGGAGGCCTGCTTCTTCTCTCCCACTCCCCCTGCTTGTTTTCCTTTTGTCGATCTCTCTCTGCCAAATAAATAAAATCTTTAAAAAAAAAAAAAAAGGATCATTGCATCTGTAATAAAGACGTTTTTACTTCTTTCTTACCAGTATGTATGCCTTTAATTTCTTTTTCTTACTGCACTGGCTGTGACCTCCAGTATGGTGTTGAATAGGTGAGAGCACATCTTTGCCTTGTTCCTAATCCTGGGGGAGAAGCGCTTATTACTAACTGAATATGATGTTATCTCTGTTTTTTTTTTTTAAATATGTCCTTTTCAGGTTGAAGAGTTACCTTTTTTTTTCTCATTTGCTGAGAGTTTGTATCATGTGTGTTCAGTTCTTTCTAATACTTTTTTCTCAACCAATTGATATGATCATATGATTTTTTTTCTCCTTTATTTTATATGGTAAAATACATTTAAGTTATGAATGGTAAACCAACCTTATATTCCTGCCATAAGCCCCAGTTGGCCGTGATATATTATTCATTTTCTTTCTATTGCTGGATTAAATTTGTTAATATTTTGATATAGAATTTTATGTACATATTAATGAGGAATGTTGGTTTGTATTTTTCTTGTGATTATTTTGTCTGGTTTTGGCATCAGCAATGCTAGCTTGGTAGAATAAATGAAGTCTTTCCTCTTGTTTGCTGAGAGTTTGTGTAGGATTGGTATTATTTCTTCCTTAAATATCTGGTAGAATTCACCAGTTAAATAGTCTGGACCTAGAGTTTTCTTTCTGGAAAGTTTTTACTTTAAAAAATAGATACAGGGTTATTCATCTGTGTTTAAGTCAACTTTGGTAATTTTTTCTTCCAAGGAATTTGTCTGTTTCACCTAAATTGTAGAATTTATTGATATAGAAGTTTTTCAGAATATTCTCTTACTCCACTACTGTATATAAGATCTGTACTGATGTCCCCTTTTTCATTCCTGATATTGGTAATTTGGGTCTTCTTTTTCTTGATCATGTTAGCTTGAGGTTTAGCCAGTTGATCTTTGCAAAGAATTCACTTTTGTTTTTCTCAGTTAT